TTTCGCATTCGTCTGCTAATCAACATACGATTGAAAACCTTGTTTTTCTTTTATAAAAAACGAAAATTATGTCAGTCAACTACCAATCATCATTTGATATGAGGAGCGCTCGATGTTGATAAGCTTTGAGTGACATTTTCAGTTGTGGATTATTATTTTGCATAGAATTATAATGTAAAAAAAACAACTCATAAACATTTGATAAAGTTCCTAGCAGCCATGGGATTTGTGTACCCACGCTTGGCTCTATTGTTTCTCATAGATAAAGATACAGAAGGGATCTATTCGAATGCTTTGCATGACATTATACTATACATTGAGCCTATTTGATGGGTAACATTGATATTTCTTTGTATAAAGGATGTTGTGTTGGTAATGGTCTTTTTTTTTTAATTTTCTTTTTTTTTGTTATATTTAAAGGGAAACCGAGTCTAAGCTCTCATCAATCAATATTTTGACTGAATTTCTTTAAAGAGAAACTTATAGTCTGTATTTTTATTTATTTTAAAAAACACAAGAATGATATTTTTTTACCTAGTATAGCATTATAATTGTTCACGCCAAAAATGAAAATAATCTGGTGATAAAAAATAAATACCAATCGTGTTTTTAAATTCTCCTACTTTGATTTTCAATTGCTGTTTCCACTTAATATCATTATAGCAAATAATTCAATATTAGATAACAAGTCACTATTGATATTTTCTTCATCGTCAGGTTGCTCTCATTACGTTCAGTATGTAATACAAAATCAAAATGTAGATTATTTGACTTTTTTGAAAACCTTTCGAATATTTTCATTGATAAAGCGCTTTCGCATGGATTATGCAAAATGATTGCAATTTGTTATGAATCATAGAGTATACACCGTCTCCGTTTGCATATCGCTGGAATAGAAAGAAGATTAAAAGGCGACCATTATTTAGCAGAAAAACATTATCTTTCAGGTGATCTATTTCAAGTCGAACATTTTCATTATTGGACTTTTTTGTCATATTTTACAACTTAAATCTAATGGTTTGATAGCGACAAATGTTAGACTTCAAACACAAAAAGGAACAATATATGGACGACAAACTCAATCTTCGATTGAATATTTAGGGTAAGATGATAAGAAGACAGTATGAAACAGGGGATCATCTATACTTTAGTCGGATAATCAAATATTAATCGAGTAAATTTAGGACCTAATAGAAATCTTAAAATAAATATCCATGTCTTTCATCCTATAATTCTGAAAAGTAAACAACATCTTTGAATATTTTATCATATAGAATTCAATATGCACAAGCCAGCAGATGGAAACCTCCAATTGATCTTGCGTCGGATACTTTTCCTAATGGCACATTTAATGCAACTTCATTTGGTCCATGTTGTCCTCAACCAACTGTAAAAATATATATAGACAGACAAGATGAACAATGTTTGTATCTAAATATTTTTACTCCAATCAATGTATCAAATCAATCGTTATTACCAGTTCTTATCTGGATTCATGGTGGTGCTCTCCAAACTGGTTGTTCATCACAAGGTATTCCTACTATATATAATGGAACAAATATTATCGCTAATTCTCTTCAACCGGCTATTATTGTAACAATTAATTATCGATTAGGTGTTCTAGCTGATTTGTATTTACCAGCTCTAGTTGAAGAAAATTCACCAGAATGACCAACATCTGGTAATTATTATTATTTAGATATGTTATCAGCATTACGCTGGGTAAATAAAAATATTCGCGATTATGGTGGCAATCCAAAAAATGTTTTATTATTTGGAGAAAGTTCTAGAGCTAATGCTGTTGTTGACATGGGTGCATTAAAAGGATCAGTCAATCTTTATCAACATATTATATCGGAATCAGGTGGAGCTGGTCATTATATATATTATTCAAATGTAAGTGATGCAATCCAAATATCAAATAAGGTTGTGCAAAACATGAATTGTACACGTGAAAATAATGCACAAAGTCTTGCATGTTTACGTAATTCTTCAATTAAAGATTTGATTATGGCCTTCGGTCGTCGTCTGGCAAAACCAGTTATTGATGGATATTTTTTCCCTTATCATCCTCTTTTGGCAATAAAAAATGGTTTATACAATCCAAACATTACAATGATTATAGGGAACAACGAACAAGAACCTTTAATGTGTCTTGAAAATCCAGATATGAATTCAACTGAGGCTATTTCAGTGTTAAGTCAAACTATACCACTACAGTGGTTACCACTGGCCGTCAATAATTATCAGCTGAGTAGTTGTTCTTCTAATAGAAATGCTAAGAATCGTTGCTGTGATGTTCTTAGCTTATTAATAATAGATAAACTTTTTGATTGTAATGTTCAACGAATATACAATAATTTATATATGAAATATCAACAATCGCACAAGCTATATTGGTATCATCTAGATTGTAATCCTGGGATATGTCCCGAATTATCAGTAGAAGAAGGTGCTGGTGTATGTGCTCATGTAGATGAAATTCCATTCGTTTTTGGAACTGTTAGTTCCTATAATTCAATGAATTCCCACAATTGTACATGGGATAGTCAAACACGAACATTTTCAAATCAAATTATTTCACATTGGATCAGTATGGCTCAAAATGGAGAACCGTTACAATCATGGCCACAGTATTCTCCAACAGCAAAAAAATATTTTAAAATTACACCCTATCACGACTTTTCACCTGAACCATGGTATCGAGACTGTTCTTTATTTGATCAACTGGAAGATGAACAAATACGTATTATGTTTCCATAACTTTATAGTAGTGTACTATGTCATAGTATAAGCAATCTTCTCATATTTTCAATTACTCTATTTTATTGGAAAGGATGATCGTCAATTAAAATAATGAAACATTTTTTCATTTCAGTCTTCACTATGTTTTATCAAGGAAATGTGCAAAAATGAATAGGAAAGTCTTTCAACTCTAGCTGGTTTGTGAATGAGATTTTTGAAGATTGGTAAGAAGTGATTGATGGAGAAAATGTAATATATTTTTACATGCACCTGTCTAGTTAAGTAAGATTTGATGACTAGATAAAAAGTCACAATAGATTCAATTATGTGTGAACATGAAATAAAGTAATATTTTCATACGAGAATATTCGTTTGGTTTAGTTGTTTTATTATCGATTTATTTGAAACACTTGAAGAATTTTCTAACGATACTAACTATTGAGGATGTGGATATGGGTGAGTAGAACTACGATGAATTATTCGATATAATTTTCGATTTTGCTGACAAATCTTATCAAATGACAGAGGATTACTAGCTGCATTGATTACCAACTCTTAGTTTCGAATAAAATTTTCGAGATTTCGAGTGAAATCAAAGCACATTTACATCTTCTACTTTTTTCGAGTAGAAACACCTATATAAATGGATGTGTAACAATCAATATATAGAATTGAAATTCAAAGCATCACACGACGCATTTCGTTCTTGCTTAGGAGACTCGTTAGGTATGTTCAGAATTTCATAATTACATACAAGTCTTAAATTACTCAATAAAATTGAGGAAGATAAGACCTAAATGTAATTAAATAACAACTTTAAGTATGAGCAACCATTACTGGCTTCCCTACTCTTTAACGAAGAATAGATCATCAGATGGTTGAATTTCATCTTATCAAACGCGAAATACGAAAAAAATTAATCCTCTATTTTTTATATACAAACAAAAACAGACATCCACAATGAGAAAACCTCAATACAGTATTGAACTAATACAAGCAAATAGCAAAAAATCTTATAAAAGATTCAAACTCAGCGATCGATGCTAAACAATTATCGACAACTCATATCAAATACAATTAAAAATATCTCGAGACAGCTGTTAGTTGAATTTTACAGATCCATTATATAACTTCTGTACCAAACATATATAAAATTTGACATGATATTGATGATCAGAGAGAGAATTGCTTGAATAGTTTTAGATCCCAATGAATAGTTAGAGATTCTATGAATTTGTATAGCTCTTCCATACGCTTGAATGGCCCTTCGGGTCATTCTCACTCCGTTCTGCTGCTGCTCATGTTAATATCTCTCTATCTGTCTGTCTCACACATAAGACTCTAACTGAGGGTGAAAGCGAATGGAGTTTCATAGTCAGAAGAAGAATGTCACCTATGATTGAATATTCGCATTATTGAGGGTAAGGATGTGGGCGTGTATAGCTCCACGAATTTCACCGGTAAATTTTCGATGTTGCTAGATAAAATCATCTTATCAAGTAGCAGTGGGATATTCGTTTCGTAGGTGAACCAATTTTTGAGAATAAATTTCCAGAAAATTTTTCGATCTAAACAGAATATCATTTTGAGGGCGTGGGTGTGATACTATTAAAAATAATTCGAAGCAACTTTACGACCGGTTTCGGTCTTGCATAACGGTCATCATCAGGTAAATTGCGAATTATTTAGACTACAAAATTAGAGTTATATATTCTTCGTTAACTCAAGTTGAAATATGATGATCAAGGAATTTGGCAGTTCTTAGACCAGGAGATTTTATCCGACAGTATGACCGACTAGAATCCGACAGGGGTCCCATCGGATTATGCATAAATTTTTGTTTATCCGATGAAATCTTATCGGAATCCGAGCTGATCCGACGTCCCGCTCTGACCCATCTTTAATATTGCTTTTTATTAGTTCTTGATGTTTAAGAGAGTGTATAAGTTTTTTCCGACACACTCGTAAATGGACTTTTTGCCCGGAAACGGGTATTACTAATTTATGCAACCAGCACAACCACCCACATCTTTGAGGGTTATGCACACAAACGCCGACAACTACCCACTTGGTAAGAATTCTAGGTAAAATAAATCGTCAACAAAGATCAAAACATGACTCCTCTCATCACAACCACCCACAAAACTTCATAATCTACATTTTGACCCGAACAAATGCTATCTTCAAATAGCTTTTCTCTAGAAAAGTCTTGTAATATGAAGAAAATCGATAAAACAATCTAACTCAAAACTACCAAATGTTTTATGCGTTTTTCTTTTTTTCGATGCATTTTTACTTAATCGAAGAATTTTCTTTGTATTAACAGACGTTTCTAGAGAAAAGTTTCTTAAGAAAAGTCGTTCGGGAATAGCACTTATTCGTGTCAAAATGTAGATTGTGAAGTTCTGTGGGTGTTTGTCACGACAAGTTGTACTATTTGTGTGGACCGTAAGTGAGATTTTGAGTGATTGTATTGAGAGAGGTCATTTTTTGGTCGGTCTTACATGTTTTCAGAGGGCAGTTTCTTAAGAAAAGTATTTCAGGGGTAGCACTTACTCCGTTCACAATGTGTATTATGAATTTCTGTGGGTAATTTTCAGGACAAGTTCAAGAGCTTGTGTGGATGATAAGAGAGATTCTGGGTGGTTATGCTGAGAAGGGTCATTTTTTGACCTTTGTTGACGATTTATTTTAGCTAGCACTCGTACAAAGTGGATGGTTGTCGATGTTTGTGTGCATAACTCTCCCAGATGTGGGTGGTTCTCAGGATGATCTCTATGTGGTTTTACAAAGTTGGGTGGTTATGTTGGTTGTATATTTTAGTAATACCCTGAAAAAAGTCTCAATTTGTCTGAAACTGCTTGAATGTTGTATTATGTAGTGGAATAGGAGAAGTTGTATAAGGTGAGTTCGAGACCGTATACGATCGTGTATGACTGTTATATGGTCGCGAACGATGGCGTATAGGACCGTGCGCGTTTGCATAGGCGCTGTGTGCAGCTGGAATTATGATCGTATACGAGCGCCGCATTGTGCCGAATACGGTATGGCGAAATACGGTTCCACAAAATACGGCGCCGTAAACGGCCGTTTACGACAGTTTCTGGTCAGCGTAATGCTCATTCTGGGTTACTCAAGATTATCTGCTCTTTCGAATAAAATATACTCTATAGATTCAAATTCGAATATCTCAGCCCAAGTGCGCTATATGCACGTCATATTTTTAATTCGTTAGTTTGGGAATGAGAGCTTTACTTTGATAATAATAAATCTAATTTTCTTGAATTACAGCACATACACCTCTGTTGTTAGATAATTATATTCTAATTTTCACTTAAGTCATTTAAGATCAAGATATCACAAATTTCATTTGATCCAAACAATAAAATAGCAATTAAGATTGGAAATACGTATTTATATGACGGATGATACAAAGGTACAACACAGCAATCTAACAGATTTCTTCAAAATTGGTGAGCAAGAAAAACTTGAAGTAAATAGAATTATATTGCCTACTCGAGATTTTAATCTATTAGCTACGAGTTCTATTTTTATTCGTTTTCAAATTAAGATGATCAAAAGAAATAGATTATCAATTCATGAAAAATCGTTGAAGTCATTCAACAATATGGTAAGCAAGTCGAACACTCCCTTGTTGACATTCACAAAAAATTATTCAGAAGAGTAATTAACTTCAACGTAATATGAATCGTGCTGTTCCGTTACCCTTATATTGTTACACAAACAAGAAAGAGAAACGCCATGAAAAAGATCATTGAAAATGAAATCTGTACAGATGAAAGATGTTTTTCTTCTTTTTTTCAGTAAATCATAGCTATAATGTATTTAAAAAAGTATCTTCTAGGAAACAAAAGCCAGGAAAATTTATGTTAATATATAGTAAAAAGTTTTTACTAATGAATTATGCACTGAAATAGACTACATGGTTTCTATGTATTGTCAAGAATGATTTTTTTTTTCATAAACATACTAAGCGTCTCTCTATTAGACGAAATGATTTGCTAAATTAATGCTATTGGCATTGTTTACTCTAGAAGTAATTATAAGCGGATATCAGTTCAATACAGATATTATTTCTGATAGTTATGTTTTTACGAAAGCTGTGTGACCATATTGTCGTAACCATTTTAGTTCTTCACGAACTTTAATTTTTATATGCCACGGATTATTTGTCATCGAATGTCCTTCATTTGGGAAAATTAATAATTGCACAGGTACATTGAGGTAACGGAGTGCACGTTCCAGTATATAACCTTGGCTGACAGGAACACGTACATCATCTTCTGCAGTCACAATAAGTGTTGGTGTACGTACTTTTGCAAACTGATAAATTGGTGATTCTTCTATATAGGCATTTGATGAATTCCATGGGGATCCACCCCAAATATAATCGATAAGCGAATTAAGGTCCATGGTACCCCACAAAGATGCTTGCTCAATCGATCCTGCACCTGAGAGAGCAGCATTAAACTGTGTCGTTTGCGTTATCAGCCAGTTGGTTAGAAAACCTCCATAGCTATGACCTCCAATGGCGACACGATTCCGATCAACGATACCATCTTCAATTAAACGATTAATGCCTGACAGAATATCTCTTCCAGGTCGAGTTAATGGATGATAGCGAATTTCGTCAAGAAACTGATCGCCATATCCTGTTGATCCTCGATAGTTTGGCTCCAGCACTAACCAACCTTCGGTAGCAGCTAATGGCGCCCATAAACCTCCACCGATGTTGAATTGATTGATACTGGCTGCGTATGGTCCACCATGCATAAGCACAAGGAGGGGCAAGTTTTTGCTTTCAATCTGTCCTGGCGGATAATGTAAAATTCCTTCAATCATACGATCATCTTCATCGCTTGTCCATTGATAAGTTGTTGTTTGATGGAAATTTCTCTCTGTAAACAATTTGTTTTCATTTGTCATTACTCTTGCAGTTTCAAGTTGATTAACATCGTCGACAATATATACTTCTCTCGGTTGGCTAAGAGATGAATATACAAATGCCATCACATTATTTACATCATTGAGTGATAATGAGATAGATTCGTATGTTCCTTGCCATCCACGATGTAAGACAGTGTATTTATTCGCAGACTGTTGCGTGTATATTTGAACATTGGTTCTCCATTGTCCTAGTATGTAGACTCCACCATCAGGTCTGACACAATATTCTGTAATACTACCCTTGAAGTCTTTTGCAAGGCGCTGTATCTCTCCAGTTGTTAGATCAAGAGCATGTAGTGTAATCTGTGTAATGACGCTATTATTATTAGTTGGTCCCAATCCTAATAAGGTAAAAAGGACCTTTTTGCCGTCCATTGATAGCTTTACATTTTCCTCGAATGCTTTGTTTGTTGTTAACCTTGATAGCGAAGAAGTGTTTCGTGTATCAATACAATATATTTCAAAGTCTTCCATTTCTCTGGGCACTCCTTTGATAGACGTGAAAACCAGCTTCTGTTCGGATGATGAAAATAGAAGTTCATTGATTTTAAAAGGAAGGACTGTCACAGCATTCATCTTTGTATCAACTAGTTGGTTTCTAATGTTGAAAACGATGTGGTAAATTGTGCTTTCATCACTTGGTTTCGATTTCCTGTATTGAATAACATCTTTCCATTCAAAAACATCGGAATCTTCATACGCTTTAGTGGAATTTGAGCCACTCGTAGCAAAGTACAAAGAGGAATCATCATTGGTCCATGTTGTTACCAACGGTAATTGTGTTCCAATTGGGATCGATATCAACTTTTGTGACATTATACAGTAGATGTGTATATGTTGTTTCATCTCAAGCTTCATATTCAATAAATCATTGCTTCTTTTAGACTCCTCATTCAAGAAGAATGCAATCCGGTTTCCACTTGGCGACCATTTTGGTTTCATTCTCTCGGAAAATTTATCGGTTATCAATGTTTTCTTATGTGTTTGTGTTTCATAAAGCCAAAGACTATTGTTATAGGAATTAGAATCCCACAGTGCTCGTCGCGTATGAATAATTAGGTATTGTCCATTTGGAGAGAGACTGGTGAATGGATAATGAACGTAATCGAAAAATTCGTCCAAGGTTATGGTACGATTCGTTGGGATCGATATACAGGAAATAAATGGAAAAAACAGTAATAACGCTCGTATCATTTTAACTATATTAGTGATCGAGTGTGCCAATAATTATTTTCATTTACTAGATGCGACAGTAGTATAATGTTATCAAGTATTTAGTTTAATCTAAAAATTAATGCACATACAAGTTTTGTCAAACAAAATTCTTCATTTTGATCCACATAGCATAAGCTTTAAAAGACTGACCATTTCTCCAGTGAAGCTATGTGAATTGGCAATCTAGAAGAAAGTGTTTCTCGCGCCATTTATATAGAAATCAGTTACGCTAATAATGATACTAATGGAACTTGATCATATCAGTATGTCTCTTTCCTTTTCTAGTACTTCGATTAGCAATTGGAAACTGATAAAGAACATACAGTGAAATGCAACAATAAAGAACAACTTTATACTTTGCTAAGACGCGTATTATATTGTCTACATTGGAATGAAAACTTTTTTGATTTGCTCTAGATGAAAAGTCCCTCGAGGAGAGATGCTATTCTTGTTGGATGAAATACCTTGCAACTCTAGCTAACTCCATCGATGGTGAATTACTGTTTGAAAAAGCTAGTTTGAACGTATTTAGACAGATTTGGATTGAAAAACAATTTTCTATTAAGTGTCTAAGAACATTAAAAAGGTTTATTCCTTATCATTCAATAATTGAAAAAAATTGTTGTTTGGATGGCTTCTATCCGTCCTCTCTCTTCTGCTCCTGTATATGAGATGGATGAAATCCAATTCCTTGAGGATTTTCCTGAATCCTTTGTTTCTATGTGTTAATGTTTCTTCTCTTGATCTCACTATTTTGTTATGATTATCTTACTTTCCTTTTTTTGTTGCTCTTGCTTTGTTTGTTCTCTTCCATGTTCTTCCTTTGTCAACTCATATGTACTGATAGGATCATAATATCACAGTCTTTTTAGCATAATAAAAACAAAAATAAAGAACAACTATATTCGAAAACGAATGACATTGACCAATTAACAAAACAAACTCCTCTTGTTTCATTTACTTACTCATGCCGCGAAAAAAACGATGCACTGACGACTAGCTCAACTATTGCTTTAGAACATGAAGATAAAATCTAATGGTGATTCGATTTTAACGAATACTTCTCTCGTCTTTAAATCAACTAAATAAATGTATGTATCTAAAATATTTTGTAATCCTTTCGTTTATTTGCGATAAGCTCGTCTTCAAGTACACACGCAACCTTTGGAGCAGATTAGTATATGATATAAATGCTTTTCGCTGTTTGCTAAATCTTTTTTTTGGGAACAACTGAGTACATATTTGTTATATGCTTTTTATGAATAAACTACGAATGAGAACACTGACTTTTATATTTTGATCACATGAAGAAGATACAAAACAGCATTGATTTAAACATGTATGTGTATTAACGAAGTATACTGCCCATGTGAATATTTTTTGCCTCATAACGCGTCTGAAACCTCGTTTCATAAAAAAAACCAAATATTTTGAGAAAAATATAATAATCCACCTCAGATTCGAACTGAGTTACTATCATCAACATTTTTTGATGGTCTTAGCCTTTCCTGGCAAATGGATTAGATTTTACTTTAAGCGATTACTATCAGATTTGAACAGATGAACCAGTGATTAGAAGTCGTTCATACATACCACTAAGCCATAATAGCTCGAAATCTTGTCTTATTCAAAATAAAATATATTTGAACACGAATTTCATCGGTTAAATATTTCAACAAGATGCATTTTTTTCGAATTCAAGATTCTTGACACGTAACGTGACTTGGGGTGTGGGTGTTTATTGTTTACGGATATCGACACCCACACCCGCACCCTTTTATAATGAGTGAAAATACAACAAACGCAATTATAAACACTGATCGCGTTGACGAGAGATAAATATTAGTTATGATGTATAATAGAAAGACAACGTTGATTTTATATTTGTTCCTTGCATCTATCTACCTACAATCGAAAAAAATATCTTACATTATATTCTTTTCATCTACGCATGCGAAATCGCCCCCAGTGATTATTAGAGCTCCCTTTATTCGACTCCTTTCTATGCCAACTCTAATACGAATGAATGTCTAAACACGTAAGAGAGATAACGAATGAGCAAAAGAGAAGAAAAGAGAAATCGAAAACGAACAGAGAGAAATCATACACGAATAGCTAAATAGATGTGAAAGCATGTAAATAACATGCCTGTAACAGACCTCTCAATCGGTAGAAATGGGTTCACACACACATGAAAATATGATTGTGCGAGATCAGGATGATCAAGCGAAGGATACAATTCGATTCAAATATTAAGCGCTTTTTTTATGATTGATTAATGCTTCTGTATAATCACCAATTCTACGATAGATTTCACCGAGATTATTGTAAATAACGGCATCACTCATTGTGTTTGGAGATTCTATTTCATCAAGTGCACGTTTATAGTACTTTATTGCAAGTTCATATCGACATTCATCCATATAAATATTAGCAATGTTATTATAGATGGTAGTTAAAAGTAGATGCTTCCGTGGAATTTGATTTAGTACAATTTCCAAGGCTTTTTCATAATTTTCTTTCGCTTTTACTGGATTTCCACTGTCAATATAAATAGTTGCTATAGCATTATATGTTTTTGCAAGATCTATGTGATCTTTTGGTAATGTTAACATATGAATATCAAGAGCTTTCTGAGCCTATTGCAAAGCCATATCATAATCAGCATTTGTTCGATATATGTCACTCAAATTACTATAAGTTACTCCAAGTGATGGATGATTTGGAGGGAGATATTTCAACTTAATATCAATTGACTTTTCATAGTTTTCAATTGAGCGATTATATTGACCATTTTTTCTATAACAAACAGCTATGTTATTGTAGATTTGTGCTAGGCCAGAATCATCTTCCATCAATGATGCATAGAGAAGTTGCAGTTCAAGTGCCGTATTATACATTTCAAAAGCTCGCTCATAGTCTCCTAAATCGATAAGAGCATTGCCTATATTAGTGTAGACCGTTGTATTTGAAACTGGACTTAGTGGTTCTTGTAGTAAATAAATTTCAAGAGCATTTTGATAATTTTCTAATGCTAATTGGAAATTTTCTCTCGCATGATATAATAAACCAAGATTATTGAAAAGTGTTGCAATTATGTTATTACGAAAGTAATCATTATCGAAAATCAATGCTGATGATGATGTTTGATCGAACAACAGACGATAATACTTTTCTGCTTTATTTAAATCACCCATCAAATATAAGAATTTCCCAAGTGTCAATAAATGGTGTTCTGTTTCGTTAATTTCCTTTTTAAAATGAGCAATCAAATCATTCAAATTTTTGTCTTCTACTTCGCTCAATATCAATTTGACGAGCCATATTTCATCAGTTAACAATTCAACACCATCAATACGAAATACTGTAGCCATGGAAAATAATATTTCGTTTTCATTAGTATTACATGAATAAAGGTGAATATCAGCAAAAGGTTTTGCTAGCCGTTTTTGATTAACAATTATTTCAAATACGACAGATTCGAATTAAGGACGGCCCATAACCACTAACAGAAAAATTGACAGCGACATTACAAGATAAAATAGTGGAAAAAAACGTATTAACTGATATAAATCCATTGCTATTGTCTTGTAATTTCTGCAATTCTTCTCATGAAATCATTTGTCCACGATACATAGTCGGGATAGTTATATTACTTTCGTTTTTTTATTGCTGAAAGATTTTCTAGTTGTTGATAAAGATCTTTAATATAAAAACGATATTTAAATATATCATTGATATTTTGTGTACGTAGTGCTCTATTCACCAGACGATACAAAAAAGTATCACGTGTGTACCAACGAATGCAAGTATCAGATGAATATATTTGTTGAAATTCAAGAATTTTATTTTTTTCAATCTGATCATTTTCATAATTGAGCAAACATTCATGCATCATTTCATTTTTTGAGTCAATTGTTTGCGGTATTTGTAAGAGAATTTCAAATAATAATTGAAACCACATAAATGTAGCTTGGTCATTTGTTAAATCTCGAATAGACATTTCTTTGATTACCGAAGGATTAATAATACTGATAGGTAATGATGTGAAAAGGTTCTCATTAAATAATCTTTTAACCAATCGATTCATATTATCATATATGCCAATTATTTTTGATGCTAATGGCTTTATCAAAGCACATTGTCGATTCGAGTTATCAGTATTATAAATATAGATCGCCTGAATATGTGGTGATTCGCAAACTGATGGTACAATCAATTCAGTGAGAGCGCATGTCAATATATTGTAAACAATCATCAACGCTATCGAAAATTTTTATGTATGGCTTGAGAGGTTTGAGTTTAATTTTTATCTCAGCATCGTTTTCAATGTTTGTATCGAGCCACACAACCGTTGTTTCATTATCCATCTTGAAATAGATTTTACTTGTTTATGATTTTGTTCAAATGAATAAATGTAATACACTTAAAATATATCTTTCACAGATTTTTTTTCTTTGATTTCTTTGTCCTACAGTAAAATAAGAGAATTACAGTCGTAAAACAATGAAAAAATACTTCTCTTCTTAGAGAAGAAAAAGAAAAAAAAAATTGTACAACGATAACGTTACAACATTCATTGATCTCTCGGTCTGTTAGTTTGCTTTATTTTACTTGTGATAATGATGATTGAGATTATGAGCTTTGCATTTGTGTTTCAACATGATACTCATAACTGAAAACGAATAGAGAAGCTTTTCCATTGTACAACATCAGTAAAAATTTTATTTTTAAGATACTTATTTGCTCTTCTCCTCATTTGTTAGTGTCGCACTGCATTTTTTCGATAATGTTTACCACATTTTTCTTCTTGGATTTCTGGATAATGACTCAAACGTAAATGCTCAAACCTTCAGCTGGATAGACCTTAAATTTCTCGCTTTGACCAATATGAGACATATATGGATAGACGCACAAGTTAGTGATTTTATTCAGCAACTCTCGTCATTTATTCCTGGTCGAAAATTGATTAGAATGAAGAGTGAATGAAGGGAATGAATCAAGGACAAAATATAATAAGTATGCTTGATTTATTTCTATGAAAATTAAAAATCTAATGCTATTATTTAATTAAAAAATAAAACTCGCTTCTTCTTCTTTTTTTTTACTATTTCCTGACAGGCAACAATTTCAATTCATTATATGTCACAGTACTGAGGTAATCAAAAACATCTTGATAATTGAAGTATTCCTTGTATGAAAAATCTATTTATGATGCGTTATTTCATTGTTTTAATATGCTATTTCGGACAAGAATTTTTTATTACATTATTGGTGCCAACACAAATTAAGTGGATAGCGGAAACTAGGGTGTAGGTGTGTGGCTGCGGTTGAAGATACCCATACGCTCACACTCACACCCACACCATAATGATGAGAAAGCTCATTCTTAGAAAAGAGAACGCACAATTTCCATGAAAAATTTGCTAGAATTCCGCTAGAACATGTATCCATTCCGCTGTATTTTGAACAATCCCGTTTAAAAGCGTCAGTTAGCGTGTGATTGTCGCTTTGGAGAAAATTACATGTATATCTTATCTAATGTAAGCGGGATTTTGTTTTATCTAACGCAAAATTTATTTTTTCAAATGGGAATTTTATTCTTACATGTGAAATTCTATCCTCTCAGCGGGATTTTGGTACATGTGCCGAACACAACTCAGTATATCCGTATGAAATGTAGATATCCAGTAGAAGATATACTATGGTTCTGCTGTTGTTTAATAATTCCGTCTAACGAACACTATACATGCATGAATATATCCGTAGGATACTAAATCTCCACTAGACGATTTACTATAGTTCTGCTAATATTTCTAACAATTCCGCTGTATTTAGAAGATTTGCCATAGTCACGCTGTAAAAAGCAAAATCAACATTTTTCGTTTTTTTGTGCCATCCCTCTATTTAGCTATTAGGCTCTGGAACCACGCTAGACCAAGTCAGAAAAAGGATCTGCTACTCAAAATGACCTCATTGCCTGTCTTCTTCACACCATTTTCTTTTCTTCTATCATGACAGTTGAAATACTAATAGAATTTGGAAAAAAAAAGATTGATTTCATGTATTTTTCGACTGATGCATTTTTAAAATCAAACTCCACTGCAAAAAAATCTTCAAAGCTTGGTTTCTTGATCTGCTAAGAGTGAGTTGCCAAAGAAAATGAAAAACAGACAAATAAATTTAATGACCTAGGAACGTAGAGCAATGTGCAAGAAAGTAATCGAAGTTTCAGAATTTTTTCTTTCTCACCATTATCTTTTATTAACAATCTTGTTTGTTACTCTGCGCAACAAGATCTCGAAACTTTGCTTTTACAATGAAGTCGTAAATAGCATAGCATCGTTGTAAATACTTACCTTTTCAGCGTCTTTTCACCTGAGTATCGATCGTGTGCTTTTTTTAAAGTTAGAAAAAACCAACTACTGACAGTTAATAAACTATGCTATTCATCCAGTACGTATCAGATTCTTCCTACGCAAATGAAAGCAAACACTCGGATATACTTTGTCATCGGGTTTTTTGTAAGTTAAGAATCAAGAAAAGTATGTGCAGCAAGTAACGTTAACGTGTTCTGCTGAATGATTCGTATGACACGAGAAGCAATCTCTGAAGCAGTTGTCCACAATAGATTTATTAGCTTTCAAAAACATTTTCTTGGTGTTTTTTTGTACACTGACATGTTTTGATGTGTACACACATTTTAGTAGGATCACTAGAATATCCTATATATCTGTTTGAAATAATGACTTTCTTCTAATTATTCCTAAGCAAGCCCTAAGCTGATCGTTTATCGCAATATCAAACAAATTTCTATTTAAAAACATACCTTCCTCACAATTATCACGAGATAAACGTCTACAATAGAACCATATACTATAATGCCATTTTAAAGATGAGTGGGTGAGAGTGAAGAAGAGATCATCACCCTCACACTCGACCACCCATCTTCAAGATAGTCAGTTCACTGCCTTAACGCGGGGTGTGGGTATGGATGTATGGCTGTGGTTGAAGATATCCATACACTCACACCCCATACCCACCGACACCCACACCTCTGATTCTTATCCATGAAACATACAAAGCGAAATATAATTGTCATTATTTGGCCCAAAACACACATGTCTATTATTCTTGTTCTTTATCTAACAACCTCTAAAACATTCTTAATATCTATGTTATCTATGAAACACATGAAAAAGATAAACGTTTTGTGAAAAAAGAAATTTAACACTGTTGATGGTAAAATAATGTTTTTTTAGATGATAAATACAAATAGTTTATTAGAAAGAATAAAGAACTAATTTATTAAATTCATCACATCAACAATGAATAGTGAATTAATGAATGAAGAATTTGTTTTATCGACTCGTCCTTCTGATCAAAATGAAATCAAATCGGCTTGGAAATTACAACCATGTCCAATGCCAACGATCACTAATGATAATGAATTTATACTAAAAACCTTATTTGTTTCTGTCGATCCTTATCTTAGTAGTGGTTTAAAAAAATCAGCACTAGGAGGTGATGTAAATCCAATTGGTTCTGTTCAAATATCAGGTTTAGTTGGTCGTGTTATTGAAAGTAAAAATTCAAATATTCCAGTTGATACAATTGTTACAGGGAGAATGGGATGGAAAAGATATATTCTTGCTAATGGGACAGAACCACGATTTAGAATTGTGCAAAAATCAACAGAAAAGAATACAATTTATGATAAAATTGGTTTTAGTACTGTAATTGGAGTATTAGGAATGCCTTCACAAACAGCCTATTATGGAATATTGTCAGTTGCCAACACTCAACCTTCAGATGTTTTAGTGATAAGTGGAGCTGCAGGAGCCGTTGGAACAATTGCTGGACAAATTGCAAAGAAAATTAGAGGCGCTCAAAAAGTCATTGGAATTGCTGGTGGAGAAAAAAAATGTGATTACATTGTCAATGAATTAGGATTTGATGCAGCAATTAATTATAAAGAATATAATACAAAAGATAAAATGATTAACAGATTAAAAGAATTAGCGCCGGAAGGAATTACACAATATTTTGATAATACGGGTGGATTTGTCACGGATGCAGTATTTGATATTATTAAAAAACATGGTAAAATTATTATTTGTGGTCAAATTAGTACTTATAATAATAGTGAAGATGATCCATCTAAAATTAATATTTATCCAAATTATTTAGCCAAAACAATTTATCGTGGTTTATCAATTTTAGGCTTTGTATGTGGCGATTTTATTCATCGAAATGAAGAAGAATTTTATAAAGATATGCCCATTTGGTTAGATCAAGGTACAATTAAATTTCATGAAACTTTTGTTGATGGTTTTGAAAATTTACCTCGAGCTTATGAAATGCTTTTTACTGGTGAGAATATTGGAAAAATTGTTGTTAGAGTTTAGATTTTTGACTTTTCTTTTTATCATTTTTGAATATGCTTAAAAGAATGTGTTTTTGTATCACTTTTAACACATAATGATTTATTTTTATAATATAAAAATTATTATGTCACAAAAAAAATATTTAAACAGAAACAGTTAACTTTAGTCAGGCAATGTCACCTAATCGAAACATTTTTAAGCACTTTTTGATCTTTTTATAGTCTATTGGACAGCTATTCAAATAATTGTAAGTATTGGTGCTCAATGGGCAGGCAAAAACCTTACTGTATACGATTGAAACAGGGGACATTCATGCACAAAATATTTCAGTAGGAAATGAATCTGTAAACCAATTAATTCATTATATTTTAGAAGTAGTTATCACTAAATTAGATTAGTTTTTTATATGAACGAAAATGCGAAGAAATCAAAAATGAATTATTTCTAACATTTGAATCAATGTTGCATAAGAATCAATTAACTTTTCAATTTGTTTGCACAGCACACTACGGTTGGATAATAATAACATGGATACATAAGTGGAGCAATGCAACAGCCGCGTGAACTGGCTGCTAGACCAACAAGGCCGAAAGACATGATAAAGACTGCTTGTTACTGTTTATGCAATACACTCTATCTTTGTTTTTATGTTAAATTGATTTTCAATAGAAAAACGAAAATCATATGAAAATAACAATACTAATCTGATGGATTAGATATTTTGAAAAAAAACGAATATTTTTATTTAGTCTCATCGGTTTATATATAAATATTCAATTGAGTTGTAATTTTATGTAAATAATATAAAATAAATAACAATAGGTCATTGATTTTATCTATATACTAATCAGAAGGTTTACACGTATGTTAA